TGAAAGCTGAAGTTTTCTCTTAAAGGAATTGAAGTTTTTGCTTTTTTGTTTTGATGTACTGTGGCTCAGTCCCCTTAACGAGCATTCTTTATATACTTGCCAAGACAATTTTTCTTTTTTCTCTTCTTTTCTTTGTTGCTGGTTATGAGGCCATCTGTGCCTTTTGTTGGATGATATGATTTTCTCTTTGAATTTGCAATTTGATGCTGTTTGGCTTCTATGTCTGAATGTTTTCTATACTGCTTGCCTCCGGGCGAGCACTGTTGGGACCTCGGGGCCAAATAGATGTTCGGTCTGGTTCTGTACTGCTTGAAATAGATGCTCTGTCTAATTCTGTATTGCTTGCCCCTGGCCGAGCACTGTTGGAACCTCGGGGCCGAGCAGATGCTCGGTCTAGCTAACGAATATGTGGCATGGCTGTGCTTGATTTCGTAAGAGGGTCTTACTTAGGTCCAGGTTTTTTTTAAAAAAAAAAAACAATTGTTTGCCCCCATCTAGAGCTAAGTAACATTGGTACTGAAGATTGTACTCTTAGGTAGAACTACTTAAGTATGTTTCAACTTTGATAGCACATGTGCATTTGAATGGGATAAAGGCATGGAGAGGTGTCTTACTCAGGTCCAGGTTGGTTTGAAAAAAAAACAATTGTTTGCCCCCAGCTGGAGTTGAGTAAGACTAATACTGGAAGTTTGCTCCTGACAGAGCTTAGCCAAGTTTGTTCCAACTCTATTTGTTCGCATCAGTACTGAAGTGTTGACGTGTTGATACTTAAGAAATTCTGTGGATTCAGAGATGTTTACTTAGGATATGTTAGTGTGGTTTCCACCAAACAATTCCACTTGGCTAAAATCCAATTTAGTTGCCAAACATAATTCCACCAAGCAATACCACTTGGCATGTTTGAGTGCTAACCAAATTTAAATTCCGTTCAGTCATTCTGAAACTAAGTCCATTTGGGTTAAGACCAAAGCTAATTCCGTTTGATAAACATCAAAGCTAATTCCGTTTGGTGAGTACCAAAGCTAATTCCGTTTGATAAACATCAAAGTTAATTCTATTTGATGAACATCAGAGCTAATTTCGTTTGGTGAGTACCAAAGCTAATTCCGTTTGATAAACATCAAAGCTAATTACAAGAATTTGATAAATTTGAGAGAAGTGGGGAAGCATTTGCATTGGTCAACAGATAAATGCCTTTACATTCTGATGGAGAAGTTGGGGGATAATTCTATTGATAGTATTTCTTGAGATTTGCTACATTCCAGGGTCGAGGTATAGCTCTGCCTTTCAGACCCTCTAGGTAGTAAGCTCCATTTCCAACAACAACTGTGACTTTGTACGAACCCTCCCAGTTAGGCCCAAGTTTGCCCTCGCCAGGCACCCTTTTGTGATCCATAACTTTCCTCAAAACCAGTTCTCTTGGTGTAAATTTCCTTGGGAAAACTTTTTGGTTGAAACTCTTGATGAGCTTCTTCTCTTCGGCCCTCTACCATATCCAGTGCTTGTGCAATAGCTTCCTCATTATTGGTGCTTTCAAACAATTCAAACCAAAGGGTTGGGAGACCTACTTCGAGTGGGATGATGGCCTCCATTCCATAAGTTAGGGAGTAAGGTGTTTCCCCCGTTGAGCATCGTGTTGTGGTTCGGTAGGCCCATAATACGTGGGTAACTCTTCAGCCCATTTGTTTTTTGCATGTTCAAGTTGTTTCTTTACTCCGTTGATGATGGTTTTGTTTGACGCTTCTGCTTGTCCATTACTTTGTGGGTACCCTGGAGAAGAGTTCCTATACTCGATCCTGAGGTCAGCACAAAACTTTCTGAAGATCTTTCTATTGAACTGTGTTCCATTATCCATAATCAATATCCGCGGGATGCCGAAACACACCACCACGTTTCTCATGGCAAACCACTTTGTATCCACTTCTTTGATACTTGCCAACGCCTCGACTTCAACCCACTTAGTGAAATAGTCGGTTGCAGCAATGAAGAATCGCCTGTTCCCAGTGCCTCGTGCCAATGGTCCGACAATATCCAGACCCCATTGGGCAAAGGGCTATGGGCTGGTGAGTGGAGCGAGAGTTTTGGCTGGCTGATGAATGAGTGAAGCAAACCTCTGACATTTATCACACTTCTGTGCATACTGCTGCGCATTTTGTTGCATCCGTAGCGACCAATACCCATGAGTGAGGGCTCAGTGCGCCAGTGACCTTCCACCAATGTGGCATCCACAAATCCCATCGTGAATTTCGTAGAGAACATTCTCGACCAGATTTGGATGCACACATGAAAGATGAGGGCCAAGATAGGAGCGTCTATACAGCTTCCCAGATGGTGAGATCCAAAACTGAGCTGACTTATGTCTGACTTTGTTGGTTTCCTTTTTGTCTTCGGGGAGAGTACCAGGTTTTAGAAAAGCAAGTATCAGATCCATCCAGCTCGGCCATAGGTTGCTGCAGAGGACTGGAGATGCAATGCTTGGTTCTAGCACAAACTCAACCCAAACTTTTCTAGCATCCTTGGTGTCCACTGATGAGCCGAGGCAAGCCAGAGCATCAGTATGGCTGTTTTTGTCCCGACTAATTCGTTCCACTCGTATGGATTGAAACTTTTTGAGTAGGTCTTTGGCTTTGCCTGCGTTCATAGCCATTCTTTCATCTCGTGTTTTACAGACCTCAAAAAGATGGTTTACCACTAGTTATGAATCGTTGAAAACAAGAAGCTATTCTGCACTGAAGTGTTCGGCACTACGTAAGCCAGCCAATAACACTTCGTACTCTGCCTCGTTGTTTGAAGCCTTCCAACCGATCCTGAGAGCCTGTTCCTAGATAAATCCTTCTGGTGAGATAAGTACTACTCCTGCCCTCGAGCCTCGGTTATTGGACGACCCGTCAACATAAAGCTGCCAAATGTTTCCAATAAAGAGTTTCCATGCTTCCGAAGCGCAGGGCTTTCCCTATTCGGTGGTGCGTGGCACCTTTGTCAAACTCGGATTCCACGGCTCGGTACTCTGGGTGGGAGCAAATTCTGCGATGAAATCTGCTAAGACCTGGGCGTTGATCGTCGTCCTGGGTTGATACCGAATGTCAAACTCATAAGCTAACTTTTCCAATGGTAGATACCGTGTCTCGGCATCTAGTAAGGTCTTGCTAACATAGTATACTGGCCTCTGTTTCTTGTTAACTTCTCGAATTAATACTGCGCTTACGGCATGATCTGAGACTGCTAGATAGAGGTATAGCTCCTCTCCTAGTTCTGGAGTGGACAGAAGATGTGGTGTGCTGAGGTAACTTTTGAGGCTTTGCAGTGCTTCGGTACACTCGCAACTCCATTCAAACACTGCTCTTTTCCTCAATAGCTGGAAGAAGGGTTTCATCCGATTTGAAAATTTGCTGATGAACCGATTCAGTGCGGCCGCCATTCCGGCCAGTTTCTGCAGCTCTTTAGCTTTTGTTGGTACTCCAAGATCTTGTATTGCTTTGATTTGATCCGAATTCGCTTCAATTCCTCTGTGAGTGACCATGTATCCCAAGAACTTCCCCGTTCCTACCCCGAAAGCTCATTTCGCGGCATTGAGGTGAAGCTAATGGTTTTTCAGGATGCCAAAAACTTCTCTCACGTCTGTAAGGTGGTTTGTAGCAAGCTTGCTTTTTACTACCATATCATCTATATAAGTTTCCATGGTTTTCCCAAGTTGGTCCTTGAACATCCGAGTGATCATCTGCTGGTAGGTTGCCCCGGCGTTCTTGAGCCGAACGGCATTACTTTGTAGCAGTAAGTTCCTCTTGGAGTGATGAATGTTGTCTTTTCTTGGTCCGGACCAAATAGTGGTATCTGGTGATAGCCGCTATAAGCGTCCATAAATCTCATGCGCTCATGCCCTGCTGTTGAGTTTACCAGTTGGTCGATGTGAGGCAGTGGGAAGCTATCTTTAGGGCAGGCTTTGTTTAGGCAAGTGAAGTCAACGTAAACTCTCCATTTTCCATTCTTCTTTTTGACTACGACTGTGTTGGACAGCCATTGAGGGTACTGAACTTCTCTGATCGCTCTCGATGCCAGAAGTTTTTCGACATTACTGCTTCAGTGTGCTCAACTGAGGATCTCCGACTTTTCTGTACTACGGGCCGAGCAGAAGAGTTAATGTTGAGCTTGTGGCACGCGAATTCTGGGTCCAGCCCTGGAGTATCGTATGCTGACCATGCGAAGACTTCCATATTTTCCCTCAATAGTTCCAACAGCTGAAGTTTTTTATCAGCGCCTAGTGAGGTACCGATAATGAAGTACTTTTTTGGATCATCCTCTTTTACCAGGACTTTCTCCAAATCCTCTACTATCTTTTCCTCTAGGGTTCTCCCTACATCTTCCAAGACTGGTTGTTCGGCCACTTCCACTGTCTGTACCCGGTTACAGAGTTGCTTTGCCTTTAGTGCCACCATGAAGCAATGTTTGGACGCAACTTGATCCCCTGAGATCTGCTCTACTCCGTGTTTCGTTGGGAAATAGCTGAGCTGGTGGTAGGTTGAAAGGACCGCCTCCATTTGATGAATCCATAGATGGCCAAGTATGGCGTTGTAAGGGGATGGTGTATTAATAACTAGAAACTCTATCTGGAGGGTTTTTGTTCCTGCCACAACTGGCAATACTATTATGCCAAGCAGCCATTCTGGCTGTGAATTAAAGCCAACTATGGGGGCTCCCGCTGGGATGAGATGCTGCTCGGAGAGACCAAGCTTTCTGAACAAGTCATAATACAATATGTCTGCTGCACTGCCTTGATCTACCAGGACTCGTTTTACGTCAAATCGTTTCCCAATTCCCACAGTTATAATCAGTGCATCAGTATATGGGTGCTGTATGCCTTCTAAATCCTTTCTAGTAAATGAAACAGTACACAAGGGGGATTTGGGTACCGTGCGTACCTTTTTCGATGCAAGCTCCACTGACATGACCTGCTAAATTTGCACAGCCTTAGCAATCTCTTCTTTCAGTGTCTCCTCAGGTTCTTAAGTCGCTGTTCCATGGATCACATTTATTATCAACCGAGGTGGGTGCTCAATATTCGGTTTTGGTGGTGGGTTCCCTGGTTCGGCCACTTCCTTATCTTGATCAATGTAATCCCGGAGGTGCCCAACTGCTACTAGGTCCTCTAAATGTTGCTTCAGTGCCCTGCAATTCTGAGTCATGTGCCCCCTGTCTTGATGGTAGGTGCATTTGAGCTTCTGATTGCGCCGGATCGGATCTCCCAACATTTTCGGTGGCCAAACAAAGAAGGGCTCTCTCTTGATCCTTTCCAGGATTCGATAGATCGGTTCTTTGAATACAGTTATGACGGCTTCATGAGATTTAGACTTATCCACCTCATTCACCAGTAGCCCTCGGTGTTCTCCTCTATCTGCTTTCTTCTTGTGCCGAGTTGTTTGTTCTCCTAATGCTACCTCGATGGGGATCTGATCATCTTCGAGGCGAGCGTACTGCTCAATCCTAGCACGCAAATCTTTCAATGCTGTGGCCGGGTGCTTGGTAAGTGATTGTCTCAACTTACTTTCCGGGCGCAGACCATGTTTGAAAGACATAATGGCCATCTGCTCACTGCACACGTTTTCCTCCAGGTCATTGTACTCTTCCCAGTATCTCCTAGCATAACTGCGCAGCGTTTCTTCCTGCTTCTTTCGGAGACTGAACAGTGTATCCGACTCTTTCGGGACTTAGTGTTGGAGACGAACTTGGCTAGGAACTCTTCGGAGAGCTACTTCTAGCCATGAATTGATCTAGCGGGGAGTCAATCGAACCATCGAAGTCCAGTTTCTCCCAAACTAGATGGGAAGACTTTGCACATCAGTGCCTCATCTCGGCTCCATAGAGACATCATCTGTCTATAATAGCTAATATGTGTTAGCGGGTCTGACTTCCCATTGTACGAAGTAAACTTTGGTGGGGTGAATTTCTTTGGAGGTCTCATGGCCTCAATTTCCGAGGAGAACGGCGAGGAGACGAGCCTATCCAGCGCTCGGTGCTCTCTCTGGTGAATGGTACGGTCCAGATGATCCCGATGTTGCTCGTTCTGCTTGTTGCCGATCAACCAAGTACGAAGGTCTTAAGGAGGGTATTCAGTCTGTTGGCTAACCGTCTTCTGCCTTTTAGCCCTTCTCCAGCGTGACCCACGGGTGTGGCTGCTCGCCGCCTCATTCTGTACCGGGATAGGCTGGCTTTGTTGCCCAGACTCATTTCTGGGAAACTTTTTCACTGGTGGCTCTCTGGATAAGCTCCTCCATCGCAAGCGATAGGGCTCTGCTTCAGTCTTCTTTTCCGTTGGATCACCCAGCACCCTTTTAAGTTGCGCTTTCAGTTCCTGTATCTCCATCCCCACGGAGTCTATGATTTGATCTCTGTAATCCTTTTTCAGAAGAAAGTGATGAGAAGAACCTCCAACGAAGGGTAATCGGTGCTCGATGGATTCAGGGGTCCGGTTATTGTTTCCAGTTTGTTCTTCTAAGACTGTTGGGAGTGCCAAGCCTTTGTCATTTGTCTTCTCTATCTATGGAGTATGTGTCGAAAGTGGGATGTCCTCAATCCCCATCGCCGGAACTAAGTGCAGAGCTTAGAGATGAAGTGATCCACGTTCACTGCACCAATTGTGCGTACCGAATTCCGCACTAGATGAAAGTGGATCGGGGCTCCACACTTGGTTAGACTATCCAAGGATTGAGGTCCTTGCAGCAAGAAGCACCATTAGAGCTGCCCGGCCGAGGTTGGCCGAATAACCCCTCCGGTGTGGGAATCAGTGATCGGAGAAGAAGTGTAGAGAGTTGAATTTGTAAGTAAGTGATGTTCAGCTTGGAATAGTTCAGTTACCTTCAATGTGAATTGAGTGAAATATATATAGGGTTCCTTGCTTGCTTCTAAAAATGGTTTTATGGAGCTTTGGTGCTGCCAGATTTTCCTTTAGCATAGCACTAGGTGGGGGACCACCTGGTAGTTGTCAAGAGGTGCTTATACTCATTATAGTCATGCTGATAACAAACCTCATTCTTCTGGTTTAACAGCTTCCATCATTCTAGGTGTAGGGGACCAGCTGAGGTGGCAACTTGCACATGCACATACTCATAACTTTCACGTTTCTCTGTGAGGTTCCTTCAGCTCGGTACCTTCGTGCCCCAGTTTGGCCCTATACAAGGCTTCCGTTGGGATGGGCTGGTCCATTCGGATATCTTAGTGTGGGCTCGGCCCACTTTAGTTCGGCCCAAAGATTAGGTCTTGCAGCTCGGCCTAGCCCAGCATCGCAGCTGGACTAGCCTTTCCACTGCGGTTGAGCCCAAGTGCTTGAGGACTTGGGTACACTATTGATCATGGAGTTGGGCTTAGTTGGGTTGCCCACATGCTCATTTGACCCTTTTTGATCTGAGCTTGGGTGATTGGACCTGCCCAAGGCTTGGATCCGACCCATTTCTTATTTCCCCCTTCACTAACCTTTAGCATAGTGTACAAAGTGATTGTCCCGTGACTTGAACCTATAACTTCAAGGTTATTAGGCTAAAATTTTACCATTGAATCTCAATATATAATGGACAAAAAAAAAGTGTGTAAATTTAATAATATCTCGTTATTTATTGTGAATTTTTATTTTTTTTTTAATGATGTGAGAAATATATACACCCTCTACCTTAAGTTTCTGACTCCACTGCTAAATATAATTATATTTCATTTATATTAAATTACTTCTCTTATTTTATTTTTTTTTCAAATATCCATTCAAATCTATAAATCTCAACCGGAGTGTTATTTGAAGAGGTCTGAGGCGCCGTTTGTTCTAGATGAAACGATTTGGTCACAAAGTAGATACACTCATCATTAGCCTTGAAATTTAATTCAATTAAATTAAAAAGTGATCCTCCCTCAGCCTTATCATACACAAAATACTTCCAGAAACACCACACGATTATACATAAAATTATGGATTATTTTAATAAGATGGTTAAAAGTTAATTATTTAATATTTTTTATATTTTTTTTAAAAGAATGTGTAAAAAAATATGAGAGATGATGTGATTCAAAATAGGTTAAAAACTAAAAGATGACTTTTAACTATCTTTCCAAAATAAGCCTATATACAAATGAATTTAAAAAAATAAAAAAAACAAATCTCAATAATAAATTATAAAATAAATTATATTAATAATCCTTACATTTTATTCCTTATGTCATTTTCAAATCTTTGAGATGTACTTCTTTAACTAATTAACTTGAAATTATAACAGTTAATGATGTCTCATTTGAGTAATTATTCTCTTTTTTATTGTCATTGATCCTCTATCACTAAATTCTAATAATTTGTCTCAAAATATTTAAAAATATTATATTATATAAGATTTTTTAAAAAGATAGTCGCAAAATATAATTCAACTGAATCTTTTTCTTTTTTCTTTTTTAAGATGGGCAACTGATTTTTTGTTGTTTCTCTATTTACCCATAACACGGAGTCTATGATTTGATCTCTGTAATCCTTTTTCAGAAGAAAGTGATGAGAAGAACCTCCAACGAAGGGTAATCGGTGCTCGATGGATTCAGGGGTCCGGTTATTGTTTCCAGTTTGTTCTTCTAAGACTGTTGGGAGTGCCAAGCCTTTGTCATTTGTCTTCTCTATCTATGGAGTATGTGTCGAAAGTGGGATGTCCTCAATCCCCATCGCCGGAACTAAGTGCAGAGCTTAGAGATGAAGTGATCCACGTTCACTGCACCAATTGTGCGTACCGGATTCCGCACTAGATGAAAGTGGATCGGGGCTCTGCACTCGGTTGGACTATCCAAGGATTAAGATTCCTGCAGCAAGAAGCACCATAAGAGCTGCCCGGCTGGGGTTGGTTGGATAACCCCTCCGGTGTGGGAATCAGTGATCGAATCAGTGATCGGAGAAGAAGTGTAGAGAGTTGAGTTTGTTATAAGTGGGGTTCAACTTAGATCAGTTACTTTCAATGTGAAGTTTATGTAGTATATATAGAGTTCCTTGCTTGTTTCCCAAGATGGTTTCATGGAGCTTTGGTGCTGCCAAGCTTCCTTTAACATTACTCAAGGTAGGGGACCACCAAGTTGTTGATAATGGATGCACATACTTGTTGTAATCATGCTTATATTTAAATTAACAACACTAAAAAAATAATTTATAAATGTTCAAAAGACTATTTTATCATTTTCTAATTGTTTGCTAAGTAATAACATGAAGGGTAAAATGAACATTTCACAAAATAATCTAATGAGATACCAATCTCATGATTTCTATCCCATCCCCCCATGGGATAGGATAGTCCGGAGCAAAAAAAATGAAATAAACAATGGACTATTAGTCCGGTGAGACTAATAATCCAATCCCATCCCCTAATCCTTCAAAAACAAACACACCCTAAAGGTATTGAAAGTCTTAAATAGGAATGTATTATTACTGCTCACTGATCTTTAAAGTTTGATTTTTCTCATTTTTACTTTTTATGTTTTAAGCTTTTGTTCAATTTATATTAATTTTTGTTCAAAATTAAACAAAAATATTATAATAATTGTCACAGAACATAAAAAAATATATATATTATTATATTAAGATTTGAGCTTGTGTCAAAGTTATGAATTATATATAAAATATTTTTATGTCATATGATTGTTAATGTGTCATTTTCTATCTAATTTTTAACAGAAGTTAGCTTTGAAAGTAAACTAAGAAAAATTTCAAACATGAAGAACCAAAATGAAAAAAAAAAAAATTTAAGGGTCAAAATAAAAAAATGACCAAACATAATGAAGACAAATTGTAATTTATCCTATATATTATATATAAATGAGCCTGAAAATGGTTTTGGGTCATATTCATAATATGAAGGCCCAAGAAAAGGAAAGAAAAAAAGTACTCCGAAATAACCAACTCTCTATAACTATTGGTATTTTTTACAAATAAAAAAATAAAAAATAAAAATAAAAAATCATGAGGGGGTCGATTTCAGTAATCGAATATTTCAATAATTTTAGGAGTGCTACCTAGGAAACCATGTATTATGGAATATATATGAGATGGATATTGTAGCATGGATGTTAATTTAGTGATACACTTAAATAGAAACTAATAAAACATGGATCAAAGCAAAAGACACTTCCATTCACCAAATCAACCAAAAGGGTTCATACATATAATATAGAAGATATATATATATATATATATAGAAATGAAAAGTACAGTTGCATCAGTAAATAAGAGGTTGAGTACATATATATGGGTATAGTTGATGTTAGTGAAATATTACAATGATATATGGATGTCATGGGGTGTATTGGATTGGAATGGAAATCAATTTGAGTAGTGATGGTTGTTTTTGGAAGTAAGAGAATCGATAACAAGTTGAGCCATCATCTCCTTCACCGACTTCCTGGGTACTGGAATCACGATTCCACTCTTCTGTTTGAAACGCCGTTTGGAATCGGTCTGTTCTCGATCCTCTCCTCCACTACAATTCTCCTCTTCTAGCTTGCACTTGATTTTCTCTCTCTTATCTGCCATCTCTCTCTCTCTCTCTCTCTCTCTCTGAAGTGAGAGTTGTGTTGTGCTGTGTTGAGTTTTCTTGGGATGGAGAGGAACAGATGAGGATATATTTATACAGAGTGTTGTGGTTTCTTTGCCTCTCTCTTTGAAAGTATATATGCAGTGCCAGTGTGTGAATCCAAATTTGAAGACGCACCCCTGTGGCTCTGTGTGTGTGTGTGTGTGTGTAAATTCTAGTTAAATTAACAGTTACCATCCCACTTTGAGTGTATAATTCAGGTGTGTGAGGGTGCTGTGTAATGCAGTGGGTGTGGATGTATCTTAGGTGGCTGAATGTGAAATAAATCTACAGGATTCTATCCCTTGACAATAAACTCGGGATTGGATTCTATGTCCATTCTATAGAGAGTATTATTTGGTTAAAAATTTATTGGTTAGATTAAATGTTTAACCGAATTCCATATCAATCATATATGGGATGTATCCTATGACAGAGGGGGGATACAAATAGTGAGATAACCTATGAAGCACAGGTACGGGTACGGGTACGGGTACTGGTACTGGTACGATACGGGTACGTCGATACGGTAAAATTCAAAAAAAATAGGGTACGGGTACGATTTGGTACGTTTGTAAAAAAATATTTATTTTTAATTTAGAGTAATGCAAAAATTAATTAAATTGTTTAATTTGTTAAGGTCCAACCTATAATTAACATTTAATGTCAAAAGGAAAAGTATAAATAAAAATTAAATGTTAATATATTAAACAACTTACAAACCATTGTTTAATTTTAAAATCATGCTAAGCATAAAATAAAAACTGAGGTACGGTACGGCTTGAATATATACTCGGTACGTCTGGGTACGTCAAAAATTAAGAAGAAAAAACTTGGGTACGTGTTTCGTGTACCCGGTACGTATGCAGAAGTACCATACGAGGTACGGTACGCCGGTAAGTACCCGGTACGGGTACGGCATGTTTTTCGAAATACCCATGCTTCATAGGAGATAACAATCCCATAAGATGAACTTGTAAAAAATCACCTTTACTTTCAAGTACGTATATCTTAATTTTAGGCCAAGTTTGGCCTACACAAAATAACTTATCTTTTTTTTTTTTTCATCACATCACCTTTTTACTTTTCGGCACATCTTTTCATAAAAAGACAAAAAATACACTTATTTAGGTTATCCCAAACAATCCCTTAATTATTTTTTTTTTGGTCAAATGATGAGATGAAAATTATTTTTTTTTTTAATTTTTTTTTCAAATGGCGGGATAAAGATTCAATTTCCTTTTACACTATTACATAGACAAATTATTTAGCTTTATTATGTATTATACTTACTAAAATAAAATTTAAAAGTCTCAACTAAAAAAAATAAATTTATTTAATTTTTATTGATATTCTATTTATTTAATTTTTAAAAAAGTTCTATCTAATAATAAAATAAAATTTATAAGTCAGATATAAGCCTCGTTTGAAGAGTAACTATTTTAGTCAAAAAGTTAAAAAGTCACTATAAGTTATCACAATACTCTCTTTATTTTTCTATACATATTTTCGTAAAAAATCAAAAAGTTACTAAAATAGTTTATTCCTAAACGAGATCTAGTATTGCTATTATTTAGTAATACAAAAGGGCAAAATAGTCTTTTTAACATTTACCTTTCTTCATAATATACCAAACAAACATAAGATTTAGGCCTGGTTTGGCATCAACTAAAAAATCCAAAAAGTCAAAAAATCACTATCCTATTTAAGTCACATCATTTTATTTAAGTCACATCACCTCTCTATTACATCACTTCAAACTCAACCCATACCCAACCCATATTTCATAAAAAATCAAAAAGTGCACTTATTTAGGACATGCCAAACCACCCCTAAAGATTAGTCATTTCTTGACATCTAGAGGGTATCTGTGATGATCTAAATAAGTATACTTTTTAAATTTTTATTAAAAAATGTGCAAAAAAAATAAAGAAGTGATGCGATTCAAACTAATAAAAAATAAATAAAAAATTCACTTTTCTAGGAAATGTCAAATAATGCCTAATAACTAAACAAATATGCGATATATAATTTTTCTAGCCAAATAGTCAAGTCTCTTTTGAAAACTAGGTTAAAAGTTCTTTATTGACTTTTTAATTTTTTTTTATCACATCACTTTTTTATCTTTTTATACGTTCATTCGAAAAGTATTTAAAAAATTAACTTTTAATATCCTTTTCAAAATAAGCTCCAAATCTCACATTATCTAATCCATCTAACCAAACATGACTTTTGGATAGGACTCCCTCCCGTCACAATTTAGGACACGCCATCATAGTTACCATAATAATTTTGAACATCAGCTTTGTGACTTCAATTACTTAAATAATTATTTTTAACCAACTTTCAGAGCTTCAATAGCAAGTAAAAAGATGTGGAACAAGATGTTTGAAGAGTGGAATGAAAACTAGGCCATGAGGTAAATCTAATGACTCAAAAATGAGGCGAAATGGAGTAACGACAAAAGAGATACAAGTGTTTGAACATGTGAATTTAAATATGAAATTCTGCTCAAATTTTCGTTAATTTAATATGATAGAGATGGATGGAGGAGCCAAATTGAAACACGGATGAAATTCTATGGTTTAATTTGTCGAAATTGAAATTATTGGGTTCAAATTAAAAAACATAGGAAACCTGAGTTTTTTTTTTTTTTTTTTGTAATTAACCCAAAAATAAAAAGGGAATTTCAAATCAGTATAAGTTAAAAAATAATTACAAATTAGTGGTAAACTTTATCAATATTAATAATTAAAATTATAAAAATTTCTTATATATATATAAATAATAATTTTTTACAATTACCACTGACATGTAATTTTCTCAAAAATAAATAAGTTATTTTATTTGACTAAATAAAATACGTTTTTCAAAAAAAAATTATTATCTTCAGAATCTAAAATAATTATGCGAAACATGATTCTGGATAATTAGTTATATTAACCAAGACTCTACAACACCGTAGTGGTAATACGAAAATTTTACACAAAAATCAAATTTTGAAAAGGCTCACATTTTTTTTTTTTGGGTCCAAAACAACATATTATTTTTTCAACAATTACCATATACGTAAACTTTTTTTAATATTACAAACAAGCTAAAAAATAAATAAATAAATAAAACTAAAAAAGTAATTTTCAAACCCCAACTTATAAAACGTGCAATTACTTGCAAAGCATGTGTATTGTTTAGAGAAAATTAATGAAAATCCATCCTAAAAGAGGTATAAGGTGTTACATTAAAGTTAAAATCTTATTTAGTGATAAGAAAATGCCAAAAAACATGTAATTACTTGCAAAGTAGGTGTATTGGTATAAGGTATTACATTCAAGATAAAATCTTACTCGATGATAAGAAAAAGCCGAAAAAGTTGCCAGCACTAGAAAAGTAGTCGGAAAAGTCTCCAACAACGGTGGCAGGAGGCTGACGATAGTAGGTGATGGTTGTAAGTTAGAGAAATGTGTGATATTCAACCTATAGATTGTTAAATGAGTGATATGTGTCACATTTTACCAGATCATTAGTTTGATGAATTTCAATAGATAAATTGATTTTAACATATAATTGTTATTCTGAACAAATTATATCGTTTTGATCCAAAGAAACTAGAATTTGGCTCTAATAACCCAAAAAATTTAAAAATAAATTTATGACCTGAATGTCTTATCCCCAAATATTTTTAAGCATCATAAAAGTTAAATATGAGATCTTTTATATATATATACATATATATAAAACCATAATGACACTGATAATAATATTGAACTTCTTAATCACACTTGTGCGGGTTGTCCTAAAAGTTAATTTGAAAAGTTGATTAAAAGTTGATTTTTTAATTTTTTTTGTTTTTGATTTTTTTTTGAAAAAGTATGTAAAAAATAAAGAGGTGATTTAATCCAAAAAAAATTTAAAAAATCAAAAAATTAACTTTTTAACTAACTTAGCAAAATATGCTTAAATCAATCGACAAAGGGATGAAGAGCGGCCCAACATGTCTCTGGTTCATTCCAACTAGTAATAGTTAATAGGTGGAAAAGCAAATCTTAATTTGTTGCATCAATTAATATATTTTACTTCAGTCGATTTCATATAATCAGTATAGCTTGATTGGTTTGTTTATCGATCTGAAGTTCAGATCAAAAATTAATTTAGTCCGAGTTACACTCAACTAAGTTAATACTAATCATGTTTGTGTTCGGCTTGAAAATTGATAACAAAAAGCAAAAAAATTGGGTCAATAATCAAAGTTGGTTAGCTCATTAAATATTATTTTATATTAAATATATATATGTAAGATATTTTATATTATTTAATAATCTAAATAAAACATTTATTCTATTACTTAAATAAATAATAAACGAGTTAAGTTTTACAACTTGAGTCGAGCTGAGCCGTTCCAAACTCACAAATAGTTCAATTTATTTGCGACTCTAACAATGAATTGTATCTTCTAGTGTCCCAAGCACTACAAGAAAAAAAGCATATAGTGACGTTTTTTTTAATGACGTTTTTCAAAAACGTCATGAAATCTGCCCAGATTTTTCAAATTCTAAAAAAATTAAACTAAATCATCTCGTTTTGTGGGCCAGTTATTTTTTTAAAACAGTGGCTCAACTCAACGCAATTGGATCTTCAGAGGCGTGACTTCAGGAAAAGAGAGAAATCAAGGCGTTGGATCTTCAGAGGCATCGGATCTTCGATCTCCATCAATTCTTCGGTTGTTTGGTCTGAAAAATCTTGTTCTACTTGTGATTTGAGTGTATATCTTCCTGATTGTTCGAATCCCTATGATCTAAATCGATCTAGGGCTCCAGGTTAGGATTTTCTGATATAGATTTGCTACATTCACACAAGATCTATAAATTTCATGGCTAAAACTAACGATTTGGAATTGTTTTCTCTCGATTTAGTTGATTTCCAGCTTTTTTTGCTTTTGTTTTATGTTTTCTCCTTTTTGTTCCTTTACTCCTTCTCTTTCATCAGATTGAGCAGCAGCAATGGTGAATCGATTTATCTAGGGTTTCGAGTGCGGTGTTAATGTCTCTGATCATGCGAGACAAGCAGGTGGTGTTGGATGTGGATCGTTGGAAACAGTGAGTAGAAGCTCAACGATGAAGAGATGCAGATCTGCTCTCTCCGATCAGATCTGTTCTCTCTCTCTCTCTCTGATCTGCTTTGCCTCGTTGTTCAAAAATGTAGTTAGAATCATATGTAGATTGAATACCACTTTGATTTTATGCAATTGAATCCATTGTCTTTTTAAGTTGTTTATTTATTTATTTATTTATTATTTTTTAATTTTTTATTTCAGATAAAGCATGTTGCATTGATGTGGAAATCCTATCAAGGTGCCTGGAAGCAAAGCTGACAGTTTGTTGCTGCTCTCTTAGCGGAGACAAAGAGGTCATATATGTTGACATTAAATACATGTTTAGTACTTCTTCAAAAATCACCTCCCGCTACAAAGAAAGTACTTCGTTCTTTGGGCAGCTTAAAGATACGTTTCAAAGCCAAGCAAGAAGTTATGAAGCCTGTTACTTCTCCATCCACAAAATTCTTTAAAATCAGAGTTAAGTATGAGGCCATTCTCTAGAGCCCCAGTATTTGGTTCCACACACCAACCAAAAAAATTAAAAAAAATAAAAATAAAAAAAAAGAAGAAGAAGAAGAAGAGCTATTTGGGAAAGAAAACATCAATGATCAAGAAGACTGTTATCATTGGGAAACCTATTAATCAATAGCAAAGTTCTAGTTAAAAAAATAACATCAAAATAACACATTCTGTAATTTGGCAAGACTGAGAATCACAGCCTGCTTAACAGGCTACTATGAAAAACATGCTTCATTTGACAAAAAAAAGCGAAAAAAGATATTTAAGACCTTTACCTGAACCGCCATGGGTACCAACAGTTCTCAATAGAAAATTTTATAGCAAGTTAAAACTGTAGCACAGGAGTTTACAAACTTGAAACCAACATTGACAAAATAAGTAGCAGTTCACATTGAGAGAGAGAGACACAGAGAGAGGGAGGGGTAAGGGCAATTAACAAGACTTGGATAATATTTCAGTTACTGAATTTTGGATAGTGGGCAGAGATATGCCAAGAGGTAATGAATTTGTTCACTAGTTTTTAATTTCTCACTTTTCTAAATTTATTAAAACATGATGTGATTTGGTGTTGGAAATTAGTGAATAATTGTAGCTTTTAATTGTTTTATTAACAAAACAATTGATGTGTTCTAATTGATGTTTTTTGGGATGATGTTGTGGAATATTTTGCTACAACAACTTGGTGAAGGATGTGATTCTACAAAGGTGTGCAACAGGGAATCATTTGGGCAGTACCTTCCACTAGGCTTTTGGAGGAGATGTTAGAGTTTGTGACCGCACTGCTCTCATCCTGGATATATTCAACCAGAGGGCAGCAACACATGAAGCAGCTTTACAGGCAAATTTATCATTTTTCTGTGAGATAGTTTTCTGAGTTTATGTTGTCCATTTACACTGACAAGACTGAAGTTTTCTTAGGTTGCATTAGCACAAATGGAATCAGTTACCTCGACTTACAAAAATGTGGAGTCACCTTGAGCGTCAAGCCGGAGGCAGGGTGAAAGGAATGGGTGAGAAACAAATTGAGGTGGACAATCGTATTTTACGTACGCAAGTAAGTAGTTTTCTTCTGCTGCCAGCAATCTATATATTTGTTGATTGTGTAGTAGGTTTTTGTATAATTTACAGTGTCTAAAATGATTCATGTTGTGTGGACATTTTAATATTTATGTTCTTCCTTAACATATGTGAGCTGTATTCTGTTATCTTGCTTCATTGATTTCTAATATGCCTTTCAAAAGCTCATTTCAATGTTGTTTGGTAGTTGTGAGGTGCATACTTTCTAAGAGGAAACTTTACATTTAAAGGGACCCCATGCTGTCATGTACATATCCTGCTGGACTTTCACTTGACTCTTGGGAGATGGTCAAACTTAGAGGACCAACTTTTCTTTTCGTTTTTAACTTCTGAAAATATTCTAATAACTATACTTTTTCTTGCCAATGTAAGTATTCATTTATTTTTCTTGTATTTCAACTAGAGGTAAATCTCTGTTCAAAAGGAGGATATAATCAATTGTGAATTATTGCTAAACATTTTAACCATGATAATTATTCTTTACCTGGAGTTGGAAGTCCTCTCCATGCTGCCATTTCTATACTAAAAAGTTGTGGTTAACAGCTTTTCACTAGGTATTTGGAATGTCATCCTCTTTCGTGGCAATGCTACCATTTCTATACAAAACATCAATAACACATTCATGAGTTGATAGGATGGAACGTACATAAACTTGGCACTAAGTCACTGAGTTGATTAAAATTTAACTAGGATGGGGCTCTTCCAAAGAAATTATCAATATTGTCTTGAGCATTTTCATTTTCTGAGGCATCCAATCACAAAAATCCCCTATTTGGGGCTCAACCTAAAAGTAATCTTAATGAACTCGCCATAGAAAAATTAGAAAATATTAAGATAGTTGTTGAGCCACTGTTTAAACAACTCACGCTCTGGTTTGGATAGGCTTTTGGGGAAAGCCTCACCCACTAACAGACTTGATTTGTCTTTACCACTTGCTGTTTGGAGTGGACTAGATGAGGTTTTAACAAGATCCTCATAAAACTTGTTGATTTCAGCCGTGACAGAGCTATTGGATTATCAGCTTTAAATGAAAATTATACCAAAAGTGCCCTAACATACCTTGAGCTTTTTCAATTGGCATGATTAATATGTTCATAACAGGTGTTCTGAAAATTCACCAATAAAAATAAATAATAAAATGCATTTATCATGTGGACAAAAAGGCTCAAGAGGCAGAAAATGCCCAGACATGCATATTTGATATTATTACACAATTATGCACACAAGTTGTTTAATTTATAGACAATATATTTGAGAACATAATTTCAATATTACCTCTGTGATAGGGTAACTTTGATGTGTTTCCGACTCCATTTTGACAAAATGATCCTTTATGTCTTCAAGGAGGAGGTCCATATCTTTGAGGGTCTCAAATTTTGTCTCAAAGCTTCTCCTAAGTAAGGACACAAGGATCTCATCTTTCAAAAGCAACTGAAGATTGTTAACATGACTGGAGAGCTCCAGAGACCTACTCTCTAAGCTTCCATTGGTTCCAACTAACTCTTCCATACACGCATTTACCTTGGAATTAAGTGCTGATATCTCCTCTTCAGCTTTTTTCTTTTCACCAACAAGTTCAGATATGTTATTCTCTGCCTTCAACAATGCTTCTTCCAGTGATTTTATTGTTGAGTTGGCATCTGCCAGCTTGCTAGCCTGGGAATCGGCTTCTTCTTTCAACTGCTTCATTGCACTCTCCAAATTATTTCTACCAACCTTAATGTTATTATTTTCCTCAGAAAGCAAAGAAACATTTGTCTCCACCTGAGACATCGCATCTGCAAGTGATTTTACAGTTCTGAAGGCCTCTGAAAGTTTGGTAGACTGAATAGAAACTTCCTCTTTTTCTTTTTCCAGCTCTGTCTCTGCAGCAGCTCTACTAAGTTGAGCATCTTCTTTCTCATTCAAAAGGGTAGAAATCTTATTCTCAGTTTCTGATAATGCATCTTCAAGTGACTTTTTCATTGCATAAACCTCAGCAAGCTTGCCAACTTGGGAAGATGCTTCCTCGAATGCTTTCTGTAACTCTTGTTCTGCATGTGTCTTACCAACTTCAAGTTCTCTCTTTTCTTCAGAAAGTCGATAAAGATTGTTCTCGGCAATTGACAGTGCCTCTTCCACTGATTACTTATCATTTTCTTTGATGCTCTGTTTGTTTGAAGTCACACGTATGTGAGCTAACAATGCCCTGTTTGCAGGGTGAAGCCATAGCTCAAAACTTGAGGACTATGTTTGGTCTCAAGGTGCCAATTATTTCCATTGTTATTGGGGAAGGTGGTTCTGGTGGTGCTCTAGCCATTGGCTGTGCTAATAAATTGTTGATGCTCGAAAATGCAGTTTTCTATGTTGCCAGGTAATTTGTTGCTGACAGTTTTTCATTTGCTATATTTTTAATTGCACGTTTACCATTGGATTTGTGCCTGTTGTGTTTTGTGTGCATGCTAAGTAAATCTCAAATATGTATCCCATTTTTGTAGATTATTATCTACATGGCTTATGACTTTAAGGTCAAAATAACTTTTCGACTTGGTTTCAAAATAGTCTCACTATCATCAGACATTATTTCAAGAACATAAGGGGTCAATAAAGTCTACTCTCTTGGCAGACAAGCTGTAAGATGTCCGTTTCATCTGCGGCTATCTTATTTCAACACATAGGCAATTTAATATTTGTAGAGTATTTGGCTAAAAGCATTCATTTAAGTTTCCAAAAGTGAGTCTGACAACTGTAGTCGGTGTTATATTATTAAATGAGTGGAAATGCATCTCAGGAAAAGAGTGTAAAGTGTGCTCAGTATTGTTTTTATTTTTCTTGAAAGTTGGGAAGTTCTTGAGGAGAATGTGGAAGTGGGCCTAAACCTGTGACATGATTTGGTGGATGTTAAAATCTTCAACATCGCTATGCTTACTGTCAAACAGTTACAGATGAAGCATAATCTTATTTTTCATTAATGTTTAATCTCTTTTGATTGTGTAGAGATTTGCTTTTGGTGCTTGGAGGAATCGATATCTGCTTGAAGATTGATGAGGATAAGAGGTCTAATATGTCCATTCAACATATTTTCTTTCACATAAAATTTGCTGCTCTCTCTCTCTAGCTTTTGTGGTCAAGATTTGCATTAAATCATTGGCCTAAGCCAGCTGTTTCTATCCATATGTAGCAAATTCAAATGTTTTGGAGAGACCGTCACTACAATGCCTTAGAAGTTCTGTTGAAATTATATTTTTCTGCTTGTCCTGTTGAATTTGTTATTTGATAGGTTTGCAATACATGTGTGTGATACAATATTTTTTCTTTTCATTTTTTGGTTGTGTTTTTGGTTGTGTTTGTTGCTTGATTTTGGTTTAGAATTTTTTTTTTTTTTTTTTAATTTTTGGTTGATTTTGGTTTTGAAATCTAACAGAATGCACAATCTTTAAAAAAAAAAAAAAAGAGGCTATAACGGCGTTTTTCCAAACGCCACTACAGTGCCAAGTCATATTTTGAAAATAGAAAAAAATTTATCACGGCGTTTTTAAAACGTCGCTAAATGCCTGATGACGTCATTTTACAGTAATTTACCACATTTAGCGGCGTTTTAAAAACGCCGTCTATACTAATTTAGTGACGCTTTTAAAGCGTCATAATGTTATAGCGACGGCCGCATCTTCGGCGTTTGGTATTAAACGTCACAAAAAGAATTAACGGCGTTTTTTATACCTATAGCGGCGTTTTTTAAACGCCACCAAATGTAAAATTTCCAGCAGTGAAGAATATACTTCATATGGGTGTTGATTTTTTACCACACAACCAAACAAGGAAACTCAGTAGAAGAGCACCGGCAGAATAGATTAAGCTCGAACAACCTATTATAGAAAGATAAGAATCCGACGATGGTTCGTCCACTCGGGGACACTCCGACAATCAAGTCAGTAATTATCTCTCAAAGATAGCTAATAGTGATTAAGTCACTAAACAGAGCCTAAAGAGCATACCTTAGACCCACGAGGATGTTTTACTTTTATAGCCATCATTAACCTGATTCCTATAAAATCCTAACTTCAATGGACTTTGGTTCAATGCTCATCCTAGACTCTCAACTAGATAAAAATAAATTCCCTGCACTACAACATTTTCTTAGTTTAGTGACATTTAAAAGTGCCACAAAACTATTGGTTTAATGACATTTTTTAGTCTTGTGGCATTTTGAACAAGTGTCATTTGTATCCATGCCACGGTAGATACTTGCAAGTGCCACTACACCATCATGGCTAAAACTTTCAATGACATTTTGATGTCATGGTAGATATTATTTGTGGCACTATCAAGCGCCATTAAAAAAAGAGTTAGTGACACTTATCATTTTTTGGTCTTGTGGCATTTTGAACAAGTGTCACTTCTATCGGTGTCACGGTAGACACGAGTGCCACGGTAGATACTTGCAAGTGCCACTGCACCATCATGGCTGAAAACTTTTAATGACATTTTAATGTCATGGTAGATATTATTTGTGGCACTATCAAGCGCCATTAAAAAAGAGTTAGTGACACTTGTAAGTGTCATTACACCATCAAGACTAAAACCTTTCAGTGACACTTTAATGTCATGGTAGGCACTATTCGTGACGCTATCAAGTGTAATTCGTTGTAGTACAATTTGATCCGTTCTTGCGGAGACTCGAGCCGCCAACCTCCCGCACCATAAACCTTATACACCACACTCTTCCCACTACACCTCTATAGCACCACATGATTAATTATATATGTAACATATATTATTTATATAGTATATATATATCCATATTAATATAAAAGTATATGTATAAATATAATTATTTTATTGAACATAATTTATGTAAAATAAACTATTTACTAGCAAAATAAAAAAAGACCACTTTTGGCGACTAAAAATATTTTTTAGTCGCCAATTCTATACTTTTTGCTACTAATTATTTTTTAGTTGCTAAAAAACTTAACTTTTGCCGACCAAATTCGGATTTGGTCACCGAAAATGCACTTTCAGCTACCAAAATTTTGGTCGCCAAAAAATTTAATTCCCGCCTTAGGATTTTAGTTCTCCCAGGCTGAAAATGACCACTTTTGGCAACTAAACTATTTTAGTCGCCAATTATAGACTTTTGGCTACTAAAATTTTTTTAGTCTGTAAAACCCATATAATCAGCGACCAAACTTATTTTTAGTCGCCAATTGTAGACTTTTGGCTACTGAATTTTTTTAGTCGCCAAAAAACTTTACTTTGGGCTACTAAAATTTTTTTAGTCACTAAAACCCATATAATCAGCGACCAAACTTAGTTTTAGTCGCCAATTATAGACTTTTAACTACTAAAATTGTTTAGTCACCAAAAAGCTTTACTTTTGGCTACTAATGCTGTTTTGGTCGCTGAAAGCTATACTTTCAGCGACCAAATTTTTTTTGGTCAGGAAATTTAGTCGCCGAATGTACTTTTTCCTGTAGTGTATATTGAGTTTAATTTATTTATTTTTAATCATTTACTGCATTTTAAAAATTTAGAAAATATATTGGCATTTTTTGTTTTTTCAAAAATGTCATTATAAGCTTGGAAAGGTTTTAGTTTAGTGGTATTTCTTAAAATGCTATAAAATATTTGTTTATGACACTTTTCACCTAAGTGCCATAAAAAGTAATTTGCACCTACCTAGTGTCCTGACATTTTTTAAAAAATGTCATTGCTACTAAAGTTTAGTGGCATCTGTTGGTAAATGTAACGAACAAAATTTTTTGTGTCATTATTTTATAAAATGCCATAAAATTGATGTGACATTTCTTTATTGAAATGCCACTAGAGCCTTATATGTTTGTGGTTCTGTGGCATTTTTCTAAAACATTTAATGCCAATTTTTATTTTTGTGGCATTTTCTAAAAATATGCCACTAGTGTAGTGTCACTAAAGTATAAATTTGTTGTAGTGACATTTTTGTTGTAGTGAAGTAACACTTTTTTTAATTGAAATGCCACTAGAGCTTTGTATGTTTGTGGCTCTATGACATTTTTCTAAAAAATGCCACTAAATATTTTTTTTGTGACATTTTTTAAGAACATGCCACTAATATGGTGTCACTAAAATGTGTTTTTGTTGTTGTGCTGAGAGCTTTATCTTTATCCAGTTGAGGTCCTCTCCCATTCTAGGACTCTTGTCCCTTATCCGCTCATCTTAGATTCCGATATCTCCAAAGATAACCTCAGCCTAGCCGAGATCATCTCGCAAATGACCAAGCCACGTGGCACTTTGGCTGATACGTCAGCGTCACTCCGGTCACGTGTTGTCATTCACAAAATATGCCCCCACAATAGTCCCCTAGCTTCCATTATCTCGGCAATCTAAGGTGATGGAACCTACATTGTCTCGTCGGTCAAAGTTCGCTCTTTCCTTCTATGGTCGAGATCATTAGTCGTCGACTTCGCGTACCCAGGATTCTATTGTCCAACTTTGCCACTGACCAAGCTCCTTAACTGAGATAGTTCCTCTAGCCAAGGTTGTTGCCTCATCAAATCCAAAACTCGAAGAGTTTTATCTGAGTATGAGCTGTCACGCACGGTTTTCCCAATCGTTTCTGCCACACGTTCTTTTTGCATTGGTTCGTACCTGACACGTGCTATTAGGATGCGTCGCTTCTGCACACGCTGTCTGACAGACACATCGTCCAAGGCTTATCATTATGGTTTGCCGCCTTTTTCACATTTTTGACAAAACTTCTCCCTCTTTCTTCGCCTCTTCACTTTTGAGTATTCATTTTGCCATGAAACTTTCTCTCTCTAACGCCTCTCTCCCAAACCGCCACTGTTCAAGCTTTCAAGCTCTGCAAGTGTTCCGATTACCTCCTCCGGCGACCTTTTCATTGTCTGTTTGCAACCATTCACGTCGTCTGACTCCGGTGATACTCATCCCGGCGTTTGTTTCCTCGGTAAGCCACTGATTTCCTCAATTTTCAGTCTTTCATTATTCTTTTGATTTGTTTCAAATCTGCTACATGTTTACATGCTATTTGTCGCCATTGCAAATCAGTTTTTGTTCTTGAATCCTTGTTGTATTTTGAATCTTGTATTTGTTTGTGATTCATGCTGTTCAATATGTCCTTGTGTCTATTCACATGGTTCGTGATTCTCGCACACACGTACATAATGCTCATAGGTTTGAAGCTTTAATAATTTTTGCCACTGTTCTTGGCCTTTGCACATCCGCACACACCTACTCAGTATTTTTTGAAAAAATGTTGCTTTCTTTATTTCTGAATCATGCTCTTTTTTTCTGTTTCAATCTTGATTTCTGAACTATATTTCTTGCCTAGTCTTCTTGTTCTGTTTTCAAATTCTTCCTTCGAATTTTTTGTTCACTTGCATAGACCATAGGCTTGGGATTTGCTTAGAAACCAAATACTTTAGGAAAAAACCAAACCAAAAACCCTCTTAGATCTGAAAAAACCCTAGCTCCGATACTAACTTAGGGTATAACCGAGGTATTTGAACCCATACCAAATATTCCTTTCTGAAATTTTGCACCATTCTTCACTAAGCTGACATTATGGGAATGTTTAAGTGGAGAGTAGACACCCGTGCCAAGCTGGAGTACTTTAGGCAAGAGTTTTCCATTCCAGCCGACGTCCATCTGAGGTTGGCTGGGAAGGATGACTCAATTATGCTTGGCCAAGATTACATGCCTTTCCCAGTCGTCTTTATTGTTAAAGGAGGAGTTAGGTTTCCCCCAGATATCCTCTTTAGGGAAGTCCTCCACTATTATAAACTCAATCCTATGCAGCTGGCCATTAATTCCTTTAGGGTCCGTTTGTTTTTAGAGGTAGAATGGAAGGGATTGTTAGTGAGGGGACTACTAGTGAGGGGACTGTTAGTGAGGAGACTAAGAAAAATTGTGTTTGTTTGATAACCAATGGACTAGTAATAGTTCATGTTTGTTTTGAGAGATAGGAGTGGGATTAACCATACAAAATTACATAAATACCCTTATTGTATTGGTATCAAATTTGAACTTATGCCAACTAATAAATGCATTACCCAATTAAATTATTCAAAAACTAAAATTAAAATTACATAATTGAAAATAAAAAAAAATCAACTATTAATTTATTATTGTTTTCGTCATTATTATTATTATTATTATTATTATTATTATAAAGAAACCAACCAATGGTTTCTGAAAAGCAGCCCACGGTTTTGAAA